AACTCGGAATCGCGCAAACTTGGCGGCGTTGGAAAGATAATTCCAACCATATCTGGATCTACACCTAACTCATCCTGAGCTAGGAGTTATGGTCGTTTGAAGTTGACCAAAAACTCACTTTTCCTAACTTAAACAATTTTCCAGATTTTTTATTCTATCCAAAAATGACTATTTCCAGTTCTTAGCTTCTTCCTAACTGTTTCAATTTGCGAGATGTTACAATTTAGTACTGTATATAGATTTGAATCTAGACTAGTGATCATTCTTCTAAGGTTGGGCATCATAACTTCCTGGTTTAGTTGTCCCAGTTTCCCATTTTGGATTAATTTTTATGAGAATTATCAATTAATTGTAGCTACTGTTATTTGTTATCAAAACAGATTGCAGAGTTTTTCTGATATCTGAAGTTGCATGTTCTATCTTCCTATCATATAAGAAGAGTGTTGACTTGTTGGAAGATCTCTGTGACATGATCAAACAGATTATACCATTGGTGACATTTTAATCATAATTCGTAACGTGAAAGGATATATTCTCTAAAATAAACAAAAGAAAAATCATAACATATAGGGGAAGTTGGTGGCTAGCTGATTATCTATTATTTCCCAGAGAAAGTATGGTTGGTATGGATAATAGATGGTTGTGTCTATGAAATTATGCTAGTCGCCATAGTATGTTGAGGTGATATGAAGTCGAATCGTGTAATTTATTTTCAGAAGAAAAGCTTCTCGTATTCTTTCTCAAAAATAAAATAAAAATAGAAATCATGTTGTATTGTGTTTGACAGGATATAAGCATATGAATGTGAACATCGTATTATGTTTGAAGTACTCCCTAAAGCTAAAGGTGATAACTGGACTAAACTTTCCTCATTAATTTGTATTGAGTTAATTAATGAATCAGAATATTAGGGGATGTCCATCTTACTCTTGCGATAACATATACGGCCACTAAAGTAAAGGTATTAAATACAAAAGAAAATAGCACTTTGAGCCACCCTTTTGTGTCCCTTGCCCTTGGTCATGTTTTCACTCTTATACAATTCAATT